GCAGGGCGGCAGGGCGGGGCCCTATAGCGGCAGGGAGCGGGGGAAGGAGATGGGGGAGGCCGCTGCGAGCATCAGCGGGGGGAAAACGAGCGCCCGCGCCGCTCGGGTCCGGTGAAAGCCGCTCCCCGCACGGTCCTTCTGCGCCTGGCTGAGACCTGCCGGTGCTCATGACACCGGGGCGGGCGCGCGGGCCGATGGACGGCGCGTCCGCGCACGGAGGGCCCTGAGCTCCCTCCGCGCTCCGTCGTCGCTGCCTCTGTCGTCTCGGGAGAACCAAAGCTCCCAAGACTCGTCATATGTCTCTTTGTATTCCAAAATGCACCTCCAAACGCAATTTTTCACTCACTTCGTTTTCGCCCACTGGCAATAAATCACGGCTACAATAAATCACGGGTGGCACCTGCCTTGTAGGTATAAATTTAATGTATGCAGCAGGTCTTTTCTTCTGGCATAGTGTAAGATGCTAAAGGCCCAGTTGAAATCGAAGCAACAGTGCTCACTTCCGAGCTGTGCAGTGCAGAATAATGCAAAAGTTCTACAAGATGTTACTCTTTTTCAGCGTGAAAACCATAGAAATATTGATGAGAATTAGCATTTGAAGGAATCTGGTATTCTCTTTCAAGACAAACAAATCTGGACGAGGAATCTCATTGAAATGCAACATTTCTTACTGCATTCTTCTATTATGAAAAATAATTTTCTGCTTTTTTCTTGCTTTGTTCTTTTTTAAAGATCCCCATTGAGGAAAAAATGACAGCGGGTTCTGTCTCAGTGCCTCAGCTCATACCTCTCCAAATCCCTCTTCCTGGGAAGACTAAGCATGAAATAGACACAAATACTCCTGTAGAAATAAAGTCAGGTACAAATAACAGTTTTGACTCTATGTAAAACTCCTCCTTATGTGATCATTTGAAACTCTTCTTATTAGCCTCTTTTTTTTTTTTAATTATGATAATTATAATAGTATGTGTTTACTTCCTGAAGTAATTCACAGAACGGACCTAGGTGTTTTGCCCTTAAATTTGCCATTATATACTTGCCCTTAGATTTAAGCATTCAAGAAATATTGTTGTAATACATGAGTTCATGCATGATAGTGGTCTTACTTGCTTCCAAAGTCAAGCTCTTAAGTTGTTATAATTTACTGTGGCTGCAAAAATGCTGCTTGAAAATATCACATGCCAGACTCGCTCAGAAAGTCATCCTTACTTTTTTTTTTTTTTGAAATTCTGCCTTTCATTATGGAAGAAATTATTTTTTGCTGTCTTCAGAACAGACAAGTGGTTGCTTTGTTTTCATCCCAAACCAGTGCAACAGCTACTTTGTGGAAAGAAATCTCGCTTGTCATGACATTGTATTTGTTTAGCCACTAGCTTTTCATGGAAGAAATAGTTTTAGTGCTGAACTTTCCATCATTTGTGCAACTTGTTTTGTTTACATGAGAAAAACCAAACACAGCATGAGTATTTCCAGGTGTAGAGGTTATTTTGTGCAGCTCCAATACGGTTTGGATAATTACTTTCTCTGTGTCTTTCAGATACCCCCGAAGTCACTATTTATTACACTTTAGATGGAAGCAAACCAGAACTCACTAGGAAACGTGGCTATGGAGAACATAGTACTTTGAAGTATAAGGAACCTATCGTGTTACCAGTTGGGAAAATAACAGTGAAGGCACTGGCAGTTACCAAGTAGGTATCTTGTTTTATTTTAGTAGTACCCTGGTAAGGACCAGATATCCCAATCACAGCTTAGAGCTGTGTTTTTTTCTGAGCAATCAGTACCTGGTGCGTGAGGGGCAGCTCATTTGATCTGGATTATCTCTAGGATGTTTTTCTCCCAGGCCCTGGATGAAGGGCCCGATGATCCATGGAGGCCATGGGTTAGTGGCTCTTAAAATACACTCCACAGAGTTCATCCATTTGAATAGAATCATCAGAAATGCTCGAGGAACTAGGATGGTGCTTTCTGAGGCTGGAAAACACCCATTGATCCAACAGTATGTTTCTAGTGAGACACTTTTAGGTAGGATAGTGATATGCTCTAGAATGACATTTAATAAAATCCTAAATTAATGCTTTGAACACTTAAAGGCATTTTAGTGTTCCTGCTGTCACTTCATTCATGGTAAAGAATGACAGTTGTTACCTGAAATGAATATCATACTAAATGCTACTTCGTAGGGAAAATGAGTGCTTCCATAGGGTGTTTTGAATGGAGGAAAAATCTTGTTCTCTGTTTCCGTGATGCTGGCAAAGCACAAATTACCCCAATAATTAGACACTTTAGACACTAATCTTAAGGATTAGCAGCAGTCTCATATGTAAAAGCCAGTGAGGAATTAAAGCATCCATATGCTTTTTTGGTAACTTCTTAGTGGGTGAATTATTAATATAAGAAAAAAAAAGTGGAGAGGGGAGAAAACAAAGTGATGGTTACAGGGGGTATTGCCTAGGACTGGTATTAAATAATAATAACTAAAATAACTAAAAATAACTAAAAAATAACTAAAATAATAACTAAAATAATGCCCTGCAAGCTTGGAGGTGATGTTCCAGCAGATGAACTCTTTTCATCGGGGATTTACATTTTGCTGCACAGCTGTGTATGGTATGTATGCAGTTCTGTGAAAATTGCCTTTCAGGGACTGCAGGGAAAGTGCCATCGTAACAAAGGTGTTTCTGGTAGAATACAAACCACCAAACACCCCCTTCTCTGGTGAAGAGAATGATAAGAATTTCCTAAAGGATCTCTTCATGCAGGCAAGTTGTAGCAATTGTAACCCATTATCTGAACATAAAACGTTGCATTGTTTTACTTTGAGATCAAACTTTGGTTACATGTACTGTTTATATGTTATATTTTCTCTGTTTGCCCATATTTCCTGCTTCAGGCATTTTCATGACACTAAAATTTCAAGGGAATGTGGCTTTTCTTCTTTTTTGTTTTCTTGTTTGGTCTTGCATGACCAGTTCAGGTCAGATATTTTTAAAAATACATTTATAATTTAAGCATATTAAATGCTTATATTGAGAATTAATACCTTACCATATACTTTTTGAATCATAACAAGTAACTATAACAAGAGAGAAATAGAACAAAGATGACTATTTTTTTGGAATTAAAATGGATTATTTTGTAGGAAAGTGAAAATGATGCGTTTACTACAAAACCAAAGAAGAACGGAGTGAATGTGGAAATCAAGTCTGCCTGGAGTGAAGCACGTCAAGATTTTCAAGGTTTGGTTTTACTTCATAATAACTGAAAGAGATTTCTACCTTAGATGCAAAGATAGTGTAAGGATTTTGTTATCACTGGTAAAATATAGATAATTTCATACCCTAAGAGGACGTTCCAGTTTAGATTTTAGACTGGGAATTCTAGTTTAGATTTCTTAACACCGAGAATAGGGAGAATATAGGGGGAAAAAAATCCATACATTTCACACTGCATTTTTAATAACACTTTAAAATGTCATTCAGTTGTGAGCAACATAACAAGACCCAATCTATGTTTCCTTTTGTTCCTGAATATCCTATTAAGCTGATGGGATTTCAAGTTCTTTAGAGAGTTCTTTGCTGATGTTTGAGTGTGCCTTGCAGAAGAATTCCGAGATAAATACACAAAACAGAAATGAAAGCTTGACTCAATTTTCTCTTTTAATAGAAGCTGTTACTTCATGGTTATGGCAATGGGACTTTTTAAGAGCAAAGAGTAATATTAATATTTACTCAGTAATCTTAGGAGCTGTGTTTTATTGTTTTTGTTTTTTGTGGGGTGTGAGAAGGAAAAAGAAAAATACAAAAGTAAGCTATTTCAGAGAGAAATAAATATTCTTCTGTCTTAATTTTCTATAATTCCATGTAAATTATATTAACCCAAGATCTAGATGTCAAATAACCTGTTAGAATAGGTGGAAATACATTTGCCATTGGAATTTAAAACATGAGAGTACATGATAGTCATGTTAATCTATATGTTAAATGCATGAAATGAATGAGAGTGGAATAATGGGATGAAATATGGTTATAATTGTAGAGCTGGAGGCAGAAGGGAAAGCTGCTCACAGGTCCCTGAAAGGACCACAGCTCCTGACCATTCGTATGGAAACAGCAGGATGCAGAGAGGAATCCAGCTCAGTGCCACCCACAGAGTCTCTGCAGGTAAGGAGGGAGCTATGGAGGAAGACTGCAAAGGGCTGTCACCAGAACTGAGCTATAAAACAATAAAAATGGGAAAAAATGTGAACATTCTCACATGATCTGTCAAAGAGGAATGCCTCTGGCTATGCTATACTATATAGAATTGATTGGGACTTGCTGGTAATGCCACACTGGAATAGGAATATCCGGAGATGTACATCCATAGAGGGAAAACTAGGCAGAGCTGACTACCAGAGCTTGCATTCCTAACAATTCCATTCTTATATGTTACTGAGCTGTAAATAACAAATAGTTATTCCCATAGGACAGTCAGCTGATATTTAAGACTTAAGATTCAGTCATTCTTTCTCAGAAATAATTAGAAAGATTCATTTATTTTTATGGGAAGAACTCGTATGTTGTTATTAGAGCTAATAGAGCAATCAAGGTGTAGGGGGTATTCCTTAAAGCACTGCGTTTCAATGCACTTTGTCTCAATGTGTCTGCAGTTGATTTTGCTAACCTTGCATGCATTTGCAAATGTCAGCTAATTAATGCCAAAGAATTGCCTTTATTTCAGTTTGCTAGTTCTTCTGCAGTGACCAGCCGGAAGAGCCTGGCAAGCACACAGACTGCAAGAATCCAGAAGGAGACGGATTTCCTCAAGTCAGTGACCTTTTTCTTATAACATTTTTGTCTGTGGAAAGTAACAAAACAATTGCCTTTCACAACCAAGTTGATAATACTGTGAGGTTTCACAAAAACAAAGAAAGCAAAGATCGACACCGACTTGTAACAAAAGAATGTAATCCAGTTATGGATTTGAAAATTCTGATTTCTCTTGCTAATGGTTATATTTACTTATCATTGTACAAAGCCATTATCTATTTCCTCATCCTTAAAAAAAAAATACTATTATCTGCAGGATCAAAAGAAAAACTATTTCCAAACTGCAGAGTGCAGCCTTCATTGCTCGCTAGTCCTGAAGGAGTTTATCAGTGGTACCTTGTATTGCAGCAGCAAGGCCTGGCACAGATCTCATGGCAGGGAGCATGTTTCCTCATATGGTGAGGAAGAATAACGAATAGCAGCAGCTATTACATTTTATACCCTGCAAGGCTGCTTAGAGCTCAAGGCCTCTCATCACAGACATCGGGACGTGGCCTGGTGGACCACCACAGCCTGGAAACCAGAAGGTGGAAGTTGCTGGGCTAGGCTATGTCCCAGGTCACTCGTCATTCTGCAGCAGTGTAACACTACACTAGTGGGTAACACCACACTTCTGTGTGTGTTTTCAGATGTGCTTGCTGTTCCACACCTCGCCCGTGCGACCCCCTGGCTCACTTCTGTCAGGAATGTGGATCTCCTGTCCCACCCGTGCCAGTACGGCGCTTCCCAGCCCCGGAAGGAACACAGGTCAGCAAAACCTCAGAAAAAACAACAAATCCTCTTCAGATAAACTAGCTTCCTCAGTAAATTACCCAGTTGTTGCCGTGGATGCCTCTATTTAGTCATACTTTCATCTGGAAAGTTCTGATTGCTCCATTTTGTTCACTAATCTTAGCATTTGAACCAAGGTGATTTTTAAGTGGTTGGACACTTTCTCTTCTGTTCTCTCTTGGGAAATTCGCCATTAATTGCTTCAAGTGCCACATGTTTTAATAGGGATAACTTTGCAAAAATAATTTAGTTTTGATTATTTTGTGCCAGGAAACATCCCCAAATGCAATCACATGACCCTAGCCTTCACTGCAATTAGCATAATTATTATCAGACATTAATGGCCAATCCTGATATGTCATCACTGTAGAATACCCTCTAACGTGCCTCAAGACCTACATGGTGCCATGCGTGGGCATATGTTAGAGCACCCTTTTTAACTGCCTTTATATAGTGATGGCTTTAACTGTCTTCTCAATATCTTCCCAAGAGTTAATAACCCATTCTAATGTGCAGGTGCTCTGTTCTTTTGTCCTGTATCCTCAGAAGGATGTTTTGTCTGGGCCAACACTGTAGTGTGAAATGATGGTGGAGGATCATTAAGATGATTTGAGCTATGTGCACACATACTGTTATAGCATTTTAAACTATGGAAACTAAGTCAGAGCCTTTCTGAAACATTTTTAATAGTAAAGCTTTCTCTCTGCAATTGTCTTCCTATTTTTTGATAGCCTCTGATCTTTAAGGATCAATTCCAACACCTGTTGTTGGCAGTTGCTGCTTCCAGTGATTTTGCTGCTGATGTAGACTAACCAGCAAAATACTGAGAATATCATGATAATCGTAATTATCTCATTATGGTCCTTAATAAGATGTGATGTGGCTTTTCCTTCAGATGGCACCATGTGTTGAATGCAGATGTCTGGTGCCAATGAATACACCCACCTGCATTATATGTGAAGCACCTATAGCTCCACAGCTGCAGCCCCAAACCACCATCTGCTTAAAGGTATTTGAGAATAACAACAACACATTAACCATTTACCTCCTACCTTCATTTTTGTAACTGGTGACTTTCATTACAATTATTTTGATCTAATTTGGGTTTGTCTAATTACGGCAGCTTTAAGTGTTGGTAGGATTAAAAATAAATAGAAATAGGGGAAGGAGAGGGTAGTGAAAGGAAGCTACTGACTGAACGGTCTCAGAAAATAAACAAAATTCACAGTCTGAGGCAGCTATCAGCCTGATGTCAAAGAAGATTATAGGCATTGGCCCAAATTTAATGTTTTAGGGCAGCCTCGAGGTGGGTACAAAGGTAAACTTGAACCTTAGGGCCTAATAGCGTAATACTACTTTTTTTTTTTTTTTTAACTGTGGTTTACAGACTTGGCACCAATGGTGAGTTTGTGAGGATGAGGCAATGTGGCTTAACTAAAGTCTGAAGCCCATAGCACTGACTTGAAGGATCTCTTCTATCTTCAGCACTCAAGTGACTGGAGAGTTTATCTTGTTATTACTGACAGTTTTAAAATACTACGTGTAATGCATTCTTTCCTGTTTGAAAGGGCAAAGTAATTTGTCGGGCCTGTGGCACTGGAAATCCTCTTCACCATAAACACTGTGTGACTTGCGAAAGCAAACTGCCTGAAGCACAGCTGGTAAGGTTTCCTGCACTGATCACACTGGGGCTTATTACGTCAAGGCAGAAATTTTACATATATATTTATATATATATATATATTCCCTCTGGAAAACTGAAGCCATATTTTTTTGCACCTATGTTGCAAAAGCAGAGAATCTTTCCCCTCCTATATTCTAGCTCAGAATTCCCACCCATGCTCCATCTCAGATGTCCAACTGCAGATAAAGTAAGTGCATCCTACACCTTCAGGTTTCTCTTGTGGAAGTCAGGAATACAAGTGCCATTTTCAAAGTCCAGAAAACAGATAGTCCTGACTGAGTGTTGCAGGAAGTCGTCTTTGTGTTCAGATTATTTTTAACTGCAGTAGAGAACTCTAGTGTATACATCAGGAATGTGATTCTCATTAATTTCAATTATTTTGTGGAAATAAATCTTTTCCGTTATTTTTGTTATCTCCATTTGCTGCTCTCCCTGCCAGCATGCAGCTGCAATGCTTGTATTTGACAGTGACTGTGTACAGAGGTGAGAGAAATGACAATGATCGATATCCCTAAAATTGCTATTTTTCAGCTCCTGGTTTAGCTTGCTGGATTGGTTCCTTGAAAAAGTAAACATATATGTTCACTCCTGGAAAAGTTTTGTAAAGCCTTGTGATACATTTTTCTTCACCAGGTTGTGATAAATATAGAAAGGGAAGAAGAAAAATGATTTGCGAGTTAAAATGTTCTCATTATAATGGCAACATCCTGAGTTTTTAAGACCATCAATAGCTAGTTGGAAAGGTCTTTTGCATAGGCACTGAGATGTCATTTCAGAGTGAATTTTGGTAGGAATCTGCAAGATTCCTGGGAGATAAGCACATATTTAAATGCTCACTAAATGTAGGTATGTAGACTTGTGAACTTGTAAATTTTATCTTCCAAATGTGAAATAATGAAAAACATTGTTCAAATTGTCATCAAGGCTGCAGATGAAAAGAGGGCTGTTCAGTGTTTTTTCAACTTGCTGTTGTGATATATCTTAAAAATTCTTCAGAGTCTGCTCCTTTTCCATAGTTCTGACTTGCAGAGGAAATAAACAGCATAAGCCTTGATACAAAAGGTAGGAAGACATATTCATACTAACTAGGATCCATAATCACCCCTCTGGAAGTTTCAACTGAAAAAAAAAATCTCCTTTGCAGTAAGGAAATCTAGCTAATATGTAACCATATGAGCAAAAGAGTGCCAGAATTATGTATGTAGCAAATAAAATATCAAACTGAAAGAATCTCGTTGTCTCTGAACCCACCTTCATTGCCAAATTACTGCACAGACTTTAAAAGGTAGAAAAGAAAATAACCATTGGGGTTTGGGTCTTGAAAAATAGAAGTTTATCAGGAGAGAAGCCCCATCTTAGTTTCCTTTTATATGGGGCCATCTTAATAAGTACTCATCGGAAGGTGACACAGTTGATAAGAGTTAATTAAAAAGAAAAGCAATTGAATTAATATTATATTTTACTGTGGTTTTGTAATGAGGAGGTTACAGGCTACAGCAGCAAAGTCAGCCTGCTTATTTGTTGGACGAATTCTTTTAGGATGAGTTTTACTTAGTGTTATCAGAGTAGCTTGTGTGCTCCTTCCCCTTGCTTAGCTGGCAAACTTTTCTTTAGAAGGAGTATTTTCTTCCTGACGTTTGTTTTGTTTCATTAGCCTCCGTTTGGAGGAGACACCCCGCAACTTCTCCCCGGGCAGCAAGGGAAGACGATTGCCTGCTCAAAATGCACTCGTGTGAACCACTGTGATAGCAGGTTCTGTGACTGGTGTGGAGCCAAGGTAGGTGCAACATAGAGCCCGTGCTCTGCTGAGTGCAGTCACTGAAAAAAACTTCCTAAACTTCCTTCTGGAATACACTTAAAAGACATAGTATTTTGGCTAAAATGACATTCGGGACTTTTTTTAATGAACTGAGTCTACATAAAATTTGAAACTCTCCCCTATATGTGCACATAGCAATTGAGCCTGTGTTTTGTCAGGAGGGCTCTAGAGGGATTAGAATTGACCTGGATTTTGATCAAGACTCAGTATCAGAGCACCAGATTAGTAATGACAGAGCATTGCTGAAGAAAAAAGCTGCCAAAATGCTAGATCTCTCTGAGGAAAAAAAAAGAAAAAAAAAAGCCTCTGTGGCATAGAGCTGAGATAACTGAAGTTTTACTCTCTTGCATCTGCCAGCGTGTAGGCAGACTGGTGTCCTGGTTGCTGTTTCTAACCTAATACCTTTAGGTGCAGTTGTTTTAGTTCCTTTTAGTTCATGACGTTGCTTTTACCTCTCCTGAGTCGTGCATCAGACGGTCCTGCGGTGATGGGTGTTTCCTTCAACTTTCCAGTTCAGCCCCACTCCGTGCTACTTCGCTTGCTTCAAGTGTGGGACCACCAACCAACCATACGCTCGGTTCTGTGGCTCCTGTGGTGTTTACATAGAGCCCCAGGAGAGGGGCATTGCTCACAGCAGCACATTGACGGGTGCTGGGGACTCGCTGGTCCCCTCGGAGGTAAGACACATGCTACTACAAGCAGGGCTTTGGCCACATTTAAAGGATAGGCTAGTCCACCAAGGGTATAAATTGATGCAACTCCATTAATTTCCTTTTTGAGACAGTGAGGTGTACTGTGAGCGATTTGTGGGCAAAACAAAGTCTCTGTTTATCCTGAGAATTCTTTTTTACAGAAATGTATTCAGCCGTAGCTGAAGGCCTTAATCCAGCCTTGTTCTAAATAGCAGTGAGAAACAAACAGCTTTGCAAAGTCTTAGCTCTTTAAGTACCTTCATCTGATTAGTCACAATTATTTGTGTCCTGCTAATGCAAGGTATTCTTTCATGCAACTGTAACGTTGCTTTCAAAACTCTGCTTTAAGAAAAGAGCATGATCCTTAGCAAGGTCAGCATGCAGATAGCTTGCTATGCCAAAACATGCATCAGTTTTGGTTTCTTCATCTTTGCTTTCTTCACATTGTTGTTTGGGTTTCTTGAATCAAAAATAATAAAATAAAAAATGTTATTATCTCTCCCTTCTAGCATTTTCATTCTTCTGCCCCCTTTTTTTTTTTTTGGTACTGTTATGGTTATTTTCTGCTTGTAAGTCATTTAAAGGTAATAATTATACTCTTCCTTTCCTGTCTCCCCTGCAGGCTAAAGGATTCCAAGCTGAAGGTGCCTGGCAGCCCCTTCCAATTTCCTCATCCAGACCAAGAGTGGATCTAAATCAAAGAGAAGATAAAGGAACCCAAACCACTGGACTTTTTTACCCATCTAGCAAACTGCTGGAGAAGAAGGAGCTTGAGATGGTTTTGCAAAAAGAAAAGCTGGAAAAGATGAGTGATCATAAGCCTCTCCTAACAGCCATCAGTCCTGGAAGGGGTTAGAAAAAGTTATTAATTTTATGTAATCAAAAAAAGAGCAGTTTTTAGTTTTCAAGAAAATACAAAATTAAACACTGGCTTTGAAAAGATTATAGTCTGTCTCCCCACCAGACACTCATAAATGCAAAAGTCAGATCACTGATCTAGATCAATGGCTAAAAAAGCATACTGGCAATAATCTAAATTAGGGTTAATGACTCCTGTACAGCTTTACTAGTTGAGCATAGATATGGAAACCTCTGAGAAACATCCCCACACGGCAGCCAAGGGAGTGGGGTTCAGTTAGGACAGCTATAGAGCTCGTTGGGAGAACTGCTGAGCAAAACTTCCTCTCGTAGAGATACTGGGGATCACAGCTCCTGAGTATGATGGACTTCTTTGTCTCCATGAAGCTCTTCTTTGGAACAGCATTGGGGAATACATGATGAAAGTTTTGGAACAGCATTGGGGAATGTATGATGAAAGTTTTGGAAGCAAAGCAAATTGAACTGGGGAAAGGGATTCTTAATAGAATTAAAACAGAAAAGAGGTTGGTGGAAACCTTCCTAGCTCTTGTAGTCCCCATTTTCCCCACTCATCTGCATCACTCCTTGCAGAGCAAGACTGTAGCCTCGTGCAGAGGCTGCTGCAGAATAATTTGTTTTGCACTTGTTGGTTTCATCAGTCAGTTGTTTGTTGAATCTCATCTCTCTACTATCATTAAAAAAGCACACAGTTTTTAGAGATTTTAGTCTTATTCTCCTGAGAAAACTACAATTCCAGCCTCCAAACCCTTGAAGGCAGACTGTTGTTATTAACTAAGGACATAATAAATGGCCTATTTTGCCAGATTGTCTTCAATGTCACAGGGCAGTCCAGTTGTAGAGTCCAGAATATATGTTTATTTTAAAGCGCTACAGCATCAAATTGTAGTTGGGAGGGACAATTACTTTTCCAGATTGGCTTTCCCATCCCTGGTCTTTTCTATGGTTATTTTTATGGTGTGTAGAAAAGGCACTAATGAATGTTAAAATGACCTGGTTTGACTCTGTGAGCGCATATCCAGATGAAGATTTTTATTTTTTCAGTGATGACTGGGGCAATCTTTCCTTCTCCCTTGCTGTGAAACGGGGAGTCTTCTCTTAAGAGACATCGCTGTAGGAGAGGCAGCTTTGATCACACTGGTGTCATACACTCCCCATTGGACCCTCTGAGGAACTGAGGAATATGCTGCATATATACCTATTTCTTGATTTCAGATAGTGCCAGATATTGGATACTACTTTTAAAGATTAAGAAAACGTTAAAAAATGCAAGTGATTTTTGAAACGTTGCACTGATTTCTGCCTGGAGTAGTCTGAGATTCTCCTTCCCCTGAGGCCAATTTTGATTCAAACAGAAAACTGAGACATGGCTTTGTTGTGAACAGAGGTGCTCTAGGAAGGAATTACAACACACGAATAAGAGTATTTGAGTGTGTGTGTGTATATATATATATATATTTTAAGCGTAGCTTGCTTGTCATTTTCTTGATCAGTTGAACCTTTTGGAAAAAAAGATCAAGTGTTTTTTGTCTCAGTGAAAATATACTATTTTTTAATCCTCTATCATATAAGTGGAAAAAAATACGGATAACATTTTCAGGGAATTTTCTCCTGCTTAACTCCCTCTGTTCAGGTTACTGGAGAAAACAGCTGGATCACGTCTGCGCTCACCTTAGAAGCTACGCACAGAACAACCGTGAGTTCAGAGCACTGATCGGAGAACCTCGCATGGGAAAGGTAGGAATTTATGAGTAGTGTCTCCCCATTTGGTGTGACAGAAAAAACAAACAAACAAACAAAAAAAAAAAACCTCAAGATAAAATATTCTGGCACTAGTTTCTATTCTCCTCTCACCTCATAGTGATGAGAAGAATGTCAGAAGCCAAAAAGCCCTCGTTCAGCTGCCTTTGCCGTGTTCACAGCAGGCAACTGAGAGGAGAAGAGAGGACCTTGACATCTGGGCAGCCAGTTAGTTAAATGTGCCCTGCACATTTAGATGCTGTTTGTCTCTGCCCATGGCTGTTTTACACCAGCAGATAGCAGCAATTCCCTCTGGTCTATATAGCCCATTCCTGTTGTAAACTAGCCCGGGAAGAGCATGTTTAAGGCAGTTGGCTTTTCAAGCTGGAGATGTGGTCTCCTTAGGCCACCAAAACACATTAACATAGTTAAAGGGGTGATAGTGAGAAGGTGAAAGGAGAAGGTGAAAATTGAAGACTCTTCTTAAGAGCCCTCAGAGATAGAGGGGAACGACTGAGAGATCACTTGGTCCCTGTCGCAACGGAGACCCCGCTCTGCCCGAACTGTTGCTGACAGATGTTTGTCTGGAAGCTTGGAAAACTCCCCAGCCACAGGGATTTCACAATCGGTGTGTTTGTGCCCTCAGTTATCCCTGAGGTTCAGCTGCAGCATCGTGCTTTTCCCTCGGAGCCCTCAGAGATAGAGGGGAACGACTGAGAGATCACTTGGTCCCTGTCGCAACGGAGACCCCGCTCTGCCCGAACTGTTGCTGACAGATGTTTGTCTGGAAGCTTGGAAAACTCCCCAGCCACAGGGATTTCACAATCGGTGTGTTTGTGCCCTCAGTTATCCCTGAGGTTCAGCTGCAGCATCGTGCTTTTCCCTCGGCAGCCCCATGGGCTTGAGGAGCCGCATCCCCCGCGCGGTTCCCAGCCGCTCGTGGCCCTGCCCTGCCACAAACAGGATCAGGGAGCTGGCCCAGGCTAAAACCAACCTGAGGGGCCTGGGAAGGGCATCGCCGTGGGCACTGGAGAAGGCTGGCGGCAGGAGGGGGGTGGAAGCAGCGCTGGGAATGCCATCCGTTGGCATTGCCGCGGAGAAACCACCTTGGAAACAGCTATAGAAAAGCTGCTGTACACAGGAACCCCGGGGTGAGGGTCAGAAATCTGCTTGGTGTTTGGCAAATGTCCCTTTTGGGAGGTATGACATCCCATCCGATATTTTGCATGTGAATTTTAGGTCCATTCAGACCTACTGTGTCCACCAGTACGTTGAGAAACTGTAGCACAAATATAAATACAGGAGACAACTGCTTGGTGGAGCTGAGATACAGGTCCCATGCAACATGTTTGCTCTGCTGGAGGATGCAAAAGGATATGCCTGGAAGATGTTAAATTGCTTAGAGAGAGACTATAGCCCTGCTGCTTCTTGGCCTGTGCTCACCCTATTGTCTGGAAACATCACTCCCAAAAGCAACAGAAACAATTCAAAGTGGATGCCAGCACTCTGGATTTAATGCTTCTTTGGGTGTTTTCACACAGATTAGAAATATAATCGACATTATCAAAATCTCAATCTGCTACAGTGTAACCTTGTCAGCTTCATATTGCTTTTAAAATCCCCCACATGCTTTTTTTTTTTTTTTTTTTTTTTTTGTAAATTACCTCAATTCCTTTCCTGCCAACATTGCTATCTAAATGAATTGACCCAGAAGGGTGCCCATGTTTTACTACAGACTGTGCTTCTACAGCTTGATGCAACTACAGCAGGTAAGAAGCCCTTCTGGAGTAGGGAATCCTAAGGACTATGTAGCCTTTCACAAAGTCTGGATGGAAAAAACCTGCAGTTGTTTGAAGCAAAGCCATAGCTTATAGTGTTGGCATAACTGGGCATTTCTGGCATTCTGATATCCCAATCACTGAAAATGCCACGTGCGCCTTTTCCAGTGCGATGAGGAGTGGTGGTTTCTTCTCCTGAGCACACAAAGGTTGACACACAGGATTTATTATTGTTATTATTTGCTTGTTGATGCCCCTCACTTAAGGGCTGATGGTAGTTATGCCTAAAACTGTATCAGTGTATTTTTGTAAGTTGTCCTAATGGTTCTCTTTCACTCTAGATTACGTCTGCGACAGGTTATTAGGGTGAAAGTCCTATTAACATTAAATTATGCTCTCGCCCTTAACAAGGTCAGTTTTGGGGAGGATGAGGCCCCGTTGTTAGAAAGGTTGTCTAAAGCTGTCAATAGATATATTTGCATAGCACTTGATATATTTTTAAATTCAGGACTACACAAGAAGTTGTTGTTCAGAGGGTGCTAACTCATCACTTCAATGAAAAAGAAGCTTTTTCTGCTAGAGGTAGTTGAAGAGGACTTATTATCTGATTAAGCCAGGCCTCACGGGTTACGTTGCTATCTTGCATTTCACTAGTTTGCTATCATTATTATTAAAATTCTTCTTTTAACTGATGTTTGATCATCCTAGCATCACAAAACCTCCTGATCTTTGGTCCTACTCTTCTTCATTTTGCATGTGTGCTCAAGCTTAGAAATTTGGAATAGTTTGGAGATAATTGCTAGAGCTCCCACTAACAATATTCAAACATTCAAAATACCTACCTCCAGCATTAGTGTGTTACAAAAAACACCCACATAAACACCCACTTTGAAACCTATCATTTCAAAGACCCAGAATTCAGCCTGTATCTTTTGTGTAGCCTCTGAAAAGGGTTACCTTGCCAAACAGTGCCTGAACAGGTTTATCGCTTCATTTGACAATCGAGAACCTAATCAGATCTCTCAGACAAAAGAGATGCTTTCATTTGGAGATTGATTTCATAAAAGTAAGCTTGTGTCATTTTTTAAATCAAAGGAAACATGTACTTTAGGAAAAATCTCCTGCATTATCTTGCCTGAAAACAAAAAGTACTTAGTTACAAGTAGTCATTTGTTTTCTGCTAATTGGAGACTGATTTAAAAAATACATAGGGTTTTAAGATAAACACCTCTGTTTTGTGCTACTGAGATTATTCCAACATTATCTGATAATCGGATTAAATGCCTGCCTTTGATTCTACAGGATTCTCTTGCCAGTAAAGCAGTGAGATTCAGCAGCTGTGACCTGGGCACTGCAGCAGAAGGCAGAGATGGACTGGATGGCAGTCCCGCTAGTTGTGGTGAATCTGGTTTTCGTCTTTATGGTCAACCATAAATTTAGTAGTCAAGAATAGGGAGGTAGAGCTTGGAAGGTTAAAAATTACACACTGGGACAGGCAAGACTATCATAGGGGCACATTCTGTACCCACTTAAATTCATTCCAAAAGTCTCAAAATGTGGCTGAGTTTAGATTTAAGAATAAACAGAGTCTGTCTAAAGGTCCCAGGCATGTTTCATCCCTAGAGGATAGCCAAGAAGGCCAGTAAACTGCAGCCATAGCTCACTGCAGTGTTTTTAGTCTTTAGTTTGAATCTTTTAGTTTGAAACTATTAAGATGTAAAGTCAGCATTAGAATTCAGCAATTCCTGAATCATTTGACATACTCCAATTAATATAAAAATTTCTGCTAGTTTATCCTTCTGCTCTGAAGCTTTGTAAATGGCAGCCACAGCACTAGAAGCTGTTTTTTTTTAGAGTATCCATGATGTGACCATGATCCTAAGCACTCTAGCAGTACCAGCTCAAAGGTTCGCTATGTGCTGCAATGATTTGCTTTTCAACCCTCCTACAGGTTGGTAAATCCTATCTCATGCAAATAATGAACATATGTATCTATTCAAGGCCATCTAGTCGTGGTCATGAGTATTTGTGAAGCAAACAGCTTTGAAAACATTGCTGGGATTTTGGTCAACACAATCCATGAATCTGAGTCACAATTGAATAGGAGCAATCAGTTTAAAAAAAAAAAAAAAAAGGAAAAAAAGGACTCAAACTCCCCAAAGTCCATACTTCAATGAATCTTCATTTCAAAATAGCAGGTTTTGAAGTCTGCCTGAATGTTAACTTTTGTTAAAACCAGTCTGATCTGCAACAAATATTTCATCACTTTCTCTCTTGTAAAAAAAAATAATAAATACTGCTTTCTTTTCAATGCAAAATAATAGATTTTGGAGGGGAAAGGGAGGACGAGGGATGAATTATTTCCAGATCTCTATGCCTGAGTTCTTTTTAGGATACTGGCATTGCTTTGAATTAACATTGCTTTCCTTTTCTCTAGCAGGCGAAGAGGATCATAATCTTTCACATTTGCGAAGCAAAATAAAGCAAACGAAGTTAAAAGACTTTACAGAAAAGGAGGACAAGCTCCCCGTACGTATCTTCTGGCAGTACAGCAAAACTTGGCAGTGCAGAAATTCTCATGGGTTAGAATCAGGGGTTAGTAATACCGGGGTTTTCCTGCAGCCTTCTCCTGGCCACTTCAAGCAGCTGTGTCTGTGCATTGTCCACCTTTACTCAAAAGCAAAATGTGGTCCACATAGGGAAAGTATGGCCATCTGAGCTGCTACCGGTTATTTCTGTTTCCACAGTCTGAGTCCAGGCAACTACAGGAAGAACCGGGTGCGAATGGGGAATGAAGAAGTGCTCTGGTGGAACAACTGCTCCATGAAGTAAGTTCCTGCTCAATGAAGTTACTGCTCACTTATGCTTCACTTTCTGGCCCGGTGAGCGTTGATTGCATTGTTAGCTCATTTAAGAGGCTACCACTGACTGACAGGAGGTTCAAAGTGCTTAAGGCAGCCTCCCCTTGGGTTGGCAATGCCAAGCAGAAAGAAAAACAGACAAGTTCTATCATTTATCCTCCTGTCCTCTGTATATGAAAGTCTAACCTCTCCCTTTTTGTTGTGTAATAAGGCACATCCTGACTGTGGGATCTACTTTGATTACCCTTGTTAAATGTGTTTCACTTGGAGCTAAGGGAAAACGTCGGCATTTCCAGGAGAACCATCTAGAATCACTACCCCTGTGTGAACATTTTCCTGTGTGAAGACCATTTGCTAACTCGAGCGGGCGTTACATTAAAGCAAAGTGGAAGCTGGGGAATCTTCATACCATGTATCTTCTACCCACTCACCTTCGCTCTCCCAGCTGTCCTAGGGAGTCGATCCCAGGCGCATGGACAGTGAGGACGGACCTGTTCCAGCAGGAGCTGCCCCTGCCAGGCACGTGGACCTGCCACCTTCCCTGTCCTCGCACAGAGGTGCCAGTATTAGGCAGCAGCCAGGTCATGAGTGACCAAAGGTTCCTGGCTTTATGTCTCTTCAGATTTCTTAAAGCAGTCCCGTATTTTAGCCAATAACACTCTAAGCTGTACTCAAATTAGCTGATTTTCCACTTTCAAACTTAAAGCAGCCTTCAGTGCAGCTTCTTGCACTAACTCATTTCATGCCTTCAGAAAATTGAGTAAAAAAAATGAAATCAAGTCTCTGTTTTCAACTTTTATTCAAAAATGTATCAACGCGAGGCAGCAGCCAACAACAAATAGAAGTGTACACATAACAGGCACAATAAGCTTTTCCTTGACTTTTTAAAAAGTTATTTGCCTTGATCCTTCCTTGCCAGAACCAGGTGACTGATGGAGAATTCAGGGCCAGCATGGAAGCGTTCTCAAGGCAAAAACACCGATTCAAAGGGGCAACATTGGGGGATAAATTAGGACAGATGCCAGCAGCAAGTGATAGGCGGTAGGTGCCTAGTGGATGTGATGCTCGATTTCACGACGGACGCACTTGGCTGCTTCTTCAATCTCAGCCACCTTCTCGGAAATTTTCTTTTGCTGCAAGGAATAAAAAATAAAACCCGATTACTAAGCTACCTCCCCTAAGGCAAAGGCTGGAGAGCCAGGAAGCTCACAGCAGCGGGCCCTGTGCGAGACGGAGGAAACAGCCCCGTTTCTCAGCACGGCAAGGGGGCACCGAGCAGCCGGCTGCACAACGCCGGGTCCAGGCACCGAAAGGGCTTTTCGGCCCGTGTTTGTGGGGTGCTTACGATCATGTTCTTCATGCGCTCCTTGTCCAGCTTCAGGAAGTCCTGCAGGGTGAGCTCGGACACGTCCTTCTGCAGCGCGAGGAAGGCGCAGCCGGCCGAGTGCTTCCCGTGCTCCTGCCTGCGGGGGGCAGCGGGCAGCGCCGCGGGTAACGCGCGCCAAGGAGGGAGCCTCTCACCGCGGCCAGCGCCAGAGGGGCCCGCGGAGGCTCCCGCCACTCACC